TTGTCATTGTGTTGATGTGAATAGTGTTCTCAAATGACTGGCTTTTCAAAATATGTAAAAATGATTTATTTATCCTCGTTACACAATGCATAAAAAAAACCAAACTAGGTAAATAATCGACTAGTTTCCTAACCAACTATTTCACCTCTTAACTCAATATACCGGACACCCTGGTTGGGATTAGTTTCGCTTCTCCGAGGCGACACTCTATTTGTATTTCGCTGTGGCGCCCTCTGTCGCGGTCCTGCAGCTGCTTTCTTACGCGCTGCCGCTCTTTTCCTACGCTTTTGTGCTGTCTTCTTCATATTTTCCAATTCTTTATTAGCCTCTTTTATTCTTTGTTTGATATCAATAATATCCGCCTTAATTTGAGACATTAACTTATTCTTTTCTGCTAATTCTTTCTCTAATTGAGTTATTTGGGTTTGTACTGACTTTTGTGTTTTGCGCGGTTTCCTGTTAGGTGTGGCGTCATTGCCTGCTGCAGCTGTAACAAAAGTTGAAGTCACTTAAGCATACGTCGAACTTTATTAAGAGACTCCTCTTGTTTCTCCATATGTAAGTGATGATTTTCTAGCTATTTATATTGATATTAGAGAGATCTACACATAAATAATATAGATTGTAGCCTACAATTGTAGGTACACATAATACTTCACCTTCTGTGGGAGAGCCATGCTTCGACACGAATGGGTCGGCTCGACCGGAGTGATACCACAGCCTCACAGAAAACCGGCGTGAAATAACCACAGCGTTGTGTTTCGCCGTGTGAGTGAGGTTACCGGAGGCCCAATCCTTCCCCTCCCCCAATCCCTCCAGAATCCCTAAATCTCCAAATCCCTAATCCCTAAAAGGTCGGCAACGCACTCGTAACTCCTCCGTTGCGAGTGTCCATGGGCGGCGCTGATTGCTTACCATCAGGTAATCCGTCTGCTCGTTTGCCGACCAATTAAATAAAAAAAAAAAAAAAAAAATAGCACAGAAAGTGTAAGAGCTCTGCGTCACTAGGACACCATAGCTATACGTCGTCGCCAAATTAGAAACGTGGCCAGGAGCTGCAGCTCCATAAGTGGCTGTTGGCTCTGCTGGTCGCTCTGGCCACTGTAACACATCTACCATTTGTTTTCGCTGCCTAGCGCTTGCTGCGCCTTAGCTGTGGCCAGGAGGTAAACGGCTCTCTCTCTCGCAGTCGCCAGTCACCCGCCGTTTTCGACGATTTTGGAGTGCATTTTGAAAATATTTTAGCACTTGTCGGTACTGATTACGGGATCGCGAAATACCGTGACCGTGATTGATGCGTGATTTTTTGTTGCTTTTTTTCTATCTCGGTATTCACGAGCCATTACTGTTATTATAAGTATTGTATGTTATTATTATATGTCGTGGTGGCCCGGAGGTTAAGGAGCCTGCTTCTCATGCATGAAGGTGTGGGTTCGAAACCTGGCAAGTACCAATGTGCCTTTAACGAGTTATATGTACTTTCTATGATTATTTACACACCACTGACATACGGTGAAGCCGGTGAAGGTAAACATCGTGAGGAAACCTGGACTTATAATTTCTAATTATAAGTTTGAAATCGCCAACTCGCACTGAGCAAGCGTGGTGACTATTTTAAAAAAAACGGACCCACACTAGGATTTTCTCCTGCGTCATGGGCTCGTGGGTGCGTTTACAAACATACAAATCCACATACACATCACACCCAGACTCGGAACCACAATATGTGGATCACACAATGAGTTGTTCCGTGCGATAATCGAACCTGCGACACGTTGCACGGCAGCCAGTTGCCCAGCCACCGCGTCAACCGCGCAGTCTCTAATGCTCAAACTTTCTCCCTGTGAGAACAGGCCTTTGCTCAGCAGTGGGCACTTATATCCTGATGATGATGATGATGATGATGATGATGATGATGATGATGATGATGATGATGGTGATGATGATGGTGGTGGTGGTGGTGGTGGTGGTGGTGGTGGTGGTGGTGGTGGTGGTGGTGGTGGTGATGATGATGATGATGATAAATACTGTTATTATCGATTCGATCGAGGCAGTTAAGGTATGAAATTCGTAAATAAAATATGTACCTGGACCAGGCTCCTGGTTATCCGTGTCCATCTTAAGTGGGAGCACTGCTCCATTAACCTGTCTAATACAGTCGTTGCCTGCTCCTCAGCTCACTGTAATTTTATAAAACGATTTATTTTCTTATTCAGTTACTCTATTTGCTATTTTCTTTCTTTCTTTCGTTCTTTCTTACTTACTTTCTTTCTTTCTTTCCTTCTTTCTTTCCTTCTTTCTTTCTTTCTTTCTTTCCTTCTGTCTTTCTCTCTATTTGTCTGTTTTTTTGACAATGTATGAATAATTCATTGTTTCCTTTTGCGTACTACAATGTTTTAAACAAAATACTCCAGCTCTGATTAGCAAAACACTCCGATCAGGGCGTGGCGAGATTCCCGCTCTTTTTACACGTTATCGTGTATTTGTGTAAGCGATAAGTTAGGACTCACTGCTACGATACAAAAGGACATTATTTATAAATGTTGCGAGCATATAAAAAGGCAGGAACGCATAATGCTTTAAATCATGCTTAATAGCTTCAAGTGTGGGAGAACTATGCTGCGGTACGAATGGGTCGGCTCGGCTCTACCGGAGTGATACCACGGCCTCACAGAAAACCGACGTAAAACAACCACAGCTTTGTGTTTCGGCTTGTGTGTGAGGATCTCCAAATCCCTAATCCACAAAAGGTTATATACGTAAAATTACTTACTTGAACATTTATATCCAATTACGTAGGTAGGTACAGTTTAGTTAAACAACTAGGTGCGTATGAAGCATAAATTAATAGCTGCTTAACTGTTAACAATACAGGAACTGAACTTACCAATGTTTTAAGTGAGGTAAAGAACATCAAATGTAATCCTCCAACAATTATAATTTGATATAAATTATTCCACTATATATACTAATGGCCACGTACGTCACTTATGGCTAACTAATTAAAACTACTACATGTACCTATAGTACGATTAAATACTTGAATTTTACCGAAGGTATTTTTGCACTCCACACGTCCACTCCGGTCAACTCATCCTTTAGGAATAACGACGCGGATCGCGTATTATGAAGATAGACCTTATCGTGTTTTATTATTGTGTGCGCGACATGTTTCGATGTGTGAGAAAATAATCGAGTAAGTCTATAATATATATACCTACATAATCTAGGAAGTGTGGGATAGCCTTGCTTCAGAATGAATCGGTTGGCTCGACCGGAGCAATACCTCACTTAAAACCGGCGTGGCCTATAGATTAATGTAGGTACTCTGTGCCGGCGTGGAACTACCACAGCGTTTTAAGTGTGTGAGAGCCATACTTCGGCACGAATGGGAGTGGTATCACGGCCTCACAGAAAACTGGCGTGAAACAACCACTGCGTTGTGTTTTGAGTGAGGTTACAGGAGGCCCAATCCTTCCCCTTCCCCAATCCCTCCCCAGTCCCTAAATCTCTCAAATCCCTAATAGGTCGGCAACGCACTCGTAACTCTTCCGTTGCGGGTGTCCATGGGCGGCGATGATTGCTTTCCATCAGGTAATCCGTCTGCTCGTTTGCCAACATATCCCCATAAAAAAAATACAAACATTTATTTTCAATAGATCACTGTAAGTGAACGTGTATATGGCGATTACCATTATCCAAATACAGCCCAAGCTTTTTGATTTCAACGGCAACATGGAGAATAGCACCATTTTTAATTAAACCAGTTTTTATTTTTTATTTTTCAAAGTCACAGAAAACCGGCGTGATCCAACCCAAAACGTTGTTTCGCCATTCGAGTGAGTTAACGGAGACTCAATCCTCCCCCCCTTCCCATACCTTCTCAATCCTTCAATATCCGAAACCCCCAAAAGCAGGCAACGCACTAGTAACTCCTTGGTTGTTGTTGTTGCCCATTAGCGGTAACGATTGCTTACCATCAGGTAATCCGTCTGCTCGTTACGTCCTGTACCATAAAAATTCAAAACATTTATTTTAAATAGACCACGTTTAACGTATAAGTATATGACGATTATCTCTCTCTGTAGCACTCCCGCCCTTGGTGTGCGAGAGGGAGTCATAGCTTCCTTCATGACTCCCGCCATGTACATGTGTGGGTAAGAGACAGAGCTAGACAACTTGTATAGCTCTTTCTCTTACCCACACTGAATTAACATTAAAACAATCTTACTTTGATTGTCATGGTTACCCCCCAGTCGCGACACACGTGAAGATTTATAACATTCGATATAAGACGTCACTATTTCTACATCGCGCTATTGAAGTTTGAGCGATTAAAGGAAGAAACGGGATGGTTTTTAGTCAGTAAGAGTAAGACACTCACTCTCTTCCATGTAACAAACAACCCGTTACTTCATGCTCTACCTCACCCTGGGCGCGATCCTTTACCGTATATCAGTCATTGGTATCTAAATAATCACAGAAAGAACCCAAAACTCGGAAAAAGTCACAATACCTACTTGCCAGGCTGCGGCTGCTGTGTGAAATACCGAAGACTTAAGTACCTACACAATGTCTGATTACAGCAGAAATTAACAGCTAACTTCACAGATAAGTACTACGTACCGAAGGCAGCGCGGCTTGTGGATAAAACGGGAACTAGATATTAAGTCTAGATACTTTAGGAATAGGCGGGCTAATGTTTTATAGGAATGTCGCCCATTGCCGCCCATTACCAATATACGGGGAAGGTTAGGCAGGATTGGGCCTCTAGCTACTAGCTACCTACCACATACCTTACCCACACGTCGAACGTAAGACCAAAATAAGAACATTTTGACAGCAAGAAAGACCCGCAGCGACACCACATACAATGTGAATGTCTTTAATTCTCGAGTAAATAAATCGCTTTACTCCAACAGTTCTACCCCAACACTAAAAATGGCAAGCGTCATCTATCGGTACATTTTGAAACTTTGTGGTGTCCCTGCTATTCTATTGTTGCTATTTTACTGACATCTGTGGACTCTAGGCAGAAAAATATTAGTTTCGTATGTTGTATTATTTATCAATTCATTAACTTTTATTTGTTGTTGCAAATACCTATAAATGATCTTGTTTTAAAATAAGGACTAAACAAAAAGAATCTTCATATTTAATTTGACATTAAAAAATGAAATGGTAGGAAATTAAACTATTCGTCAGTCACCCCTGCGCGCAGCTGGTCACATTCTGCTGTCTCCGATTTCAGCAAGTATGTAAATGTCACATTATTTTATTTTACTTACAGTTTTTAAGTTATCATCGGTCCGTATTGAGTTCCCGCGATCTCTCGTGTGTTTTGTGATAATTTCTGTGACAAATACATAGTGATGTCAGCGCTGGGGGCTCCTAACCTCCGCGCGTCGCGCGCTCGCAGCATCACGTAACGACGGGAGTGCCCTGATGGTGAGAAGAACCGCGATGGTGCTGAGTACCGAGTGGGCGCAGGTTGAAGTCGTCGAGCTCACTAATGATGGAAACGGCCTGGGGTTTAACCTTGTAGGCGGACGCAGCACAGGGGTGGTCATCAAGTACGTGCTACCGGGTGGAGTTGCGGACAAAGACGGACGCCTGCAGAGCGGAGACCACGTCCTCCAAGTCGGCTCCGTTAACCTGCGCGGTTTCACTTCGGAGCAGGTCGCTGCAGTACTGCGCCAGGCAGGGCCTGTAGTGAGACTACTGGTCGCGCGCCCGGCTGACCCAGCTGCGGCTTTGCGTGCCCCGATTCCCGGTACAGCGCTAGTCCCTACTAAAATCCTCGGCGACCCCGAGTTGCTGGACCGTCACCTCATAGAAACTGGTTATGGTGCTGTGTATGACCTGTCTCAGTGCTTCACTGACTACATCAACTCTCAAAATGGTGTGACTGAGCCCAGCTTTGTGGCTGCAGCTGTTAGTGTGATTGGTGACAACCCTCAGCAGATCCCTGACCACCCCATTATATCTGATGCCATCTCACCCACCATCACTATCACTGTACCTGTGGAGATCCCCAATGAGCCTGAGATTGAGATTGTTCATGTGGATTTAAACAAAAATGTATATGGATTGGGCATAACTGTTGCTGGCTATGTGTGTGAGAAGGAGGAACTCTCTGGAATATTTGTGAAGAGTATAATAGAAGGCAGCAGTGCTGAACAGAGTGGTAAAATTAGAATTAATGATAGAATTATAGAAGTTGATGGGACATCCCTAGCAGATAAGACTAATCCCCAGGCAGTTGAAATTCTAAGAAACACAGGCATATCTGTGCATCTAGTGTTGGAGAGGTACCTGAGAGGTCCAAAGTTTGAGCATCTTCAGTTAGCTATTTTTAATGAAGAACGGCCTACGTCACCCTCCCCTTCTACAACCACCCTGTCCTGGTTCCCAGTGCCTTCCCAAGTTGAAAACAGTACCATAGAAATTGAACCTGAGCCTGAATCTAATACAACTATAGACTCCAATGTGCTAGAAATTGTGGACACACAAGAACTTGTGGATGAACCAACACAAGAAGAATTAGACAGAAGATTTGATGAGATATTAGCTGTTGATAAAGAAGAAATAAAGAAACGGTGGGAGGAAGAAATAGGGCCAGACAAGGAGATCCTAGTCGCTGAAGTTAGCAAGCTAGAAGGGTTAGGAATTAGCCTTGAAGGTACTGTTGATGTAGAAGGAGGACAGGAAGTTAGACCTCATCATTATATTAGATCTGTGCTTCCTGATGGACCTGTAGGTCAGGAGGGGAGTCTTTCTGCTGGAGACGAGCTGCTTGAAGCGAATGAGTACCGACTCCACGGCTTGACCCATACAGAAGTAGTAAATATCTTGAAGAAGCTTCCAAATAGAGTGAGGTTAGTGTGTGCACGCAGTAGTATAGACAGTGGTCCACGTCCACTTATAAACTTAGCTCCAGACAGAGAAGGGTTTGAAGCCAGAAAGATAATATCAGGCAGCTTAAATAACTTGACAACCCTTGTGAAAGCACAGTCAGACACATCAATCAACACATCAAGCACGGCTACATTAACAAACCATTCAGGGCATTCAAAGAAGTCCCGGTCTCTGGAGTGTGTATCAGGCTTAGCCATGTGGCAAAGCAAGGAAGATATAGTAGAACTGTTCAAAGGTGATCAAGGGTTAGGTTTCTCCATATTAGACTACCAGGATCCTGTAGATCCTCAGGGTACAGTCATAGTTGTGCGCAGTCTAGTTCCTGGAGGTGTAGCTGAAAAGCATGGAGAGATATCACCGGGAGATAGAGTAATGTCAGTGAATGGTGTCAGTATTAAGAATGCTACCTTGGACCAGGCTGTGCAAGCTCTGAAGGGTGCACCAAGAGGTATTGTAAAGGTTGGAGTAGCAAGGCCACTTCCCCCACAAGACTCTAAGTCAAAAAGTACCACAACACTGAACACAAAACCAAGTTAATTAAAAATTGTGGTTAGGAAACTGTACTAGTCAAGTTGAGTCATATCTGTATGTTTAGGGTCTACATATCGAGGAGTGGCAGATGGTGGAGAGGATCCTGACATATTACATAGTGTCTCAGTCACTTAGAACCATGATTAGCTGTTCAAAAGTAAGATATTGCTTTACATACTGTTTGGAATTGCTAAAAATCTATTAGGCGATAGCAGAACTAAATTCAAATTCTTTATTAAAATTTCATATGTTAACTCATTCAATCAATTGTGGTTAGTTACATCAGTTCTTTGTCAATTCAATGTGTTAGACAATATGAAAGTATGTCAGACTCTCTCCCGGGATAGTCTGGAAGTCTATGGACGTAACACAGAGAATGCACAACAGAGCTCAAAACTCGTAAGATACAATAATAATTAACGCTTTACTAGTAAATATAGGGATATGTAAGACACATGTCATTTTAAAAAGCACATTTTTAAATTATTCAATGAATTGTCTTGAATTTTTTGTAAATAATTTCTTAAACACGGTAAATGTATCTAAATGCTTGTACAGTTGTTATTCATAGTATTATTTTTATCCAAATTGTATTTCATCAAGTAATGATTTGTATAGCCCTGGTTGGACAGCTGATCTGATTTATTGCTTTACAAGAGTCCAAGACAGTCCATAGTAATTTTACCTACCCTCCTAGAATAATTTTACACAAAATGTTCCCCGTATTGAACAATTGTTTTTTACTTTAGATTGTAAAATCACGTATCTTGTAGATATTTACCTAAGGGAGCAATTATATAAAATAAATTTTATTGTAAATAGGAATATTCGAATCTCACTACACCTGCATTGAATAGTATTAATATAAATATACACATTTATAAATAAACAAAAGGATTTGATTGTGAATTGAGTTCTTGCCTTTTATATTTTTTGTACAAATGTCTTAAACTATATGCTGTAAGTATGTATATGTATAGTTTGCAAGTGGATAAGGACCTGTATGAAAAATATTTACAAAGGATACTAGATTGTAATTGAAAAGTAATAGGATATACAATTATTTGGAATCGGCTTCATTATTAGGTACCTTAAAGCCTCTTAGATACAAAGCCAGTAAATATTTCTGTTTGTCTAGATACACTTCACGAAATTAGGCGGCACATGTGGTATAAATGTAAAATATAAGCTAGTGTTTTTTGTAACAATATCTACTATACAGTTATTTTATTGCAATTAATTCTGGGCTACCACTTTAATCAAACTAGTTATGTGAAACGGAACAATGGTCCAACATAATAAAATTATGTTTAATTATGCTAATATTCTTACGTTATTTATAATTTCAAGTATTGTATTGCATTTATGTAAGCTTACTGATCTCTCAAGCAGGTAATCACTTTTGACGGTGAGGTACATATTAATGTATGCACAGCCGGTCAGATTTCTGCATAATTAATGTACCTACATCGTGCGTCAACTATTGATTTATGTTTATATTGTTTTCCTGCGCATAATTACATAAAGATTTCGAAAATTATGTTTCTAATGCGTTTTATAAAAAAAAATAACAATCTTATACTAAACTAAAGCTGCTGTGAATCTCACAATTATTTACTAACTTTATTTTTCTAGCTTTTTATTCAAGTTTTATAACTAGAGGAAACTTTATGCAATCCTCAATAAAATATAATTATAGTTCCTGTAATTTTGCATAATGTTTTTAAGTAGACATTATGTTTGTATTAGGTGGGTGACAAGCGTCAGTCTTATTTTTGTAGTTTTTTTTAGTAATTTTATATAAAAGTGACTCTTGGTCTTGACTAATTGTAATACTTTATATCTTCCCTGTATCGTGAAATACTAATTAAGCTTTCACACAAAACATACATATTTAAATTGTAATAAATGGTCTATCCCACTATTGGGCTTGAATTAACATTTCTTATACTATCTAATGAAGTGAATCACATATTGCCTAAAACATTACAATGTTAAACAAACGTACCTATTAAATAATAAAATCGTTTACATTACTAGTATTTAATTTTTTAATTTATTCCTATCTTTAAGACTATGTAAAAAGTGGTTCTTTAAGGCTATCCATGCCTATATCATAAACTACTATATTGATATAGGAAAACTTTCCGCTTCTATTTTAGGAGCACGCTCAATGCCGTTGAACTTCGCCGCCGTGAAAGTGTTCCATAAGTGCCCCGATGTTTGTAACAAATCTTTATTCCGTAGGTAATGATTAACATAGGCAATTCATGGAAAGGTACGCGTGTAGCCTTTTTTAACTAACAGTTTAAATTGATACGGTGAGTAGCAGTACCTACGTGTCGTCGCTCGTGCGTTCGATTCTTAAAGAGATAATAACTTCCAATGGTTTTTTATTACAATTATAATGTTTAATTTGCTGGTCACTGGATTTTCGGGTTTCGACCCAGTGCCGAGGTTTCAACAAATGTATAGAGGGTTTACTTTCTGAAGTATCTATAGATTGACGTGCTACGACTCGTACACGGACCTACCTACATAATTTACGTGCGAAGGTGCGTGACTGAAACCGTTGTGGATTGTAAGTAGGTAGTTCAAATTCACTATTAACGTAAAGCTGACCAGTGTTGTTCGTTGTTAAATATTTAAGTATACATATGTATTTGCGTTGTGTTTCGCCGCGTGATTGATGTTACCGGAGGCCCTATCCAATCCCTTAATCTCCAAAACCCTAATCCCCAAAAAGACGGCAACGTACCTACCTACTCGTAACTCCTCCGTTGTGGTCGGCGTCGCCGATTGCTT